TCCCTCTGATATCTATGTTTTTAATCTTTCCCTTTACCTTAGTTCCTTCCTGCTAGTACAGGGGATTCCCAACCAACCACAGAGGCAATTAACTTGGAGGGGCTCCATCCATGTAGCTTGTGAAAAATGATTTTTTTATGCTGTACATCTAAGCTGGAGAATATTCAAGAGCTGCCTATAATCCCACTGCCACATTCTAATACACTCTTTTGAGTGAGAAAGCCCCAGTTTGCTAGCTGGTAATTATCTATAGCCTGAACCCTATCTCAGCTACCCATGGACCTTTATTCAACAGGTATCTAAAAGGAAGAGTGGGCTATAGAACCTTGAAGATTGGGCTAACAATGTGCAGGTATTTCCACGGTAGAGTATTATACATAGGAACATCATTCTTTATAATATTGCAGCAGGAAAGACAAAAACCAAGTAAACAAACCCTCAGAAGCATAGCCTTCCCCTACAATATGCTCAGCTTTCTTCTATCTTATTAAAATCTTATTAAAATGGTTGCCTTCAATCCCATCTGAAAAACTGTACAACTGCTAGATATAAAACCAACAACAACAAATAAAATTTAATTTGTCCAAACCTCTGCAAAGGCCCAAGTCTCAATAGGAAACAGATGGTACCCTCAAATTAGGATAATTTAAGGAGGGCTTAATTTTAAAAGTACCATTTACAGAGGCCCTAGTAGGGTATAAGATAGCCACAAAGAACAGTGTAATGAACTGGGGCTAGTAGCAATGAAGTTGTCACCAGCCCTGCACCCAAGAGAAAAGGATGTTACTAAAAGCAGGAGGCTGTCTTGAGAGATACATGTAATCAAGGTGTTCTAACTGGGAGAAAGCCAGGGGAATAATACATAACAAACACCCTGAACTATTTCCACTCCAGTCCTCCAATGGAGTATGATGTTCATCAATGACTTCCTATTGACCAAACCTAAGAAATAAACAATTTGTAGTTCTTTTCTAGCTTGATTTCTCTCGATCATTTAACATGGTTGACTATTCCCTTCATCTTAGAAATCTTTTATTTTTCCTTTGGTTTCTGGGACACTATTCTTTCTTGGTTTGCCTTCTTCCTCTTTGATTGCTTCTACTCTAACTCCTTTGCAGGTTTGTCCATGAATGCAGTGTTCCCCAGGGGTCTATTATCAACCCATCTTTTTCTTCTGAGGTGATCTCATTTCTTTCTCCATCACCACTAGTCACCTTGTTTTCAATTTTTCCCTTATGGCCATTACTACTTGTCTTAATTTGGGTTTCCTGAGCAGATCCTAAGACAGGGATTTAAATGTAAGAAGTTTGTTTGGAGGTGATGTCAGGAAATACCACTATAGGAGTAGGAAAGTGAAACAGGGAAGAGGGGAACCAATAAAGTGAACATTCTCAAGCAAGATTTCACAAGGGGTAAAAGAGCTTACTCCTATTGGGGAACTCCAGGAAACAGTCTAGAGTTATCTCATTCAAGGGACAAAATGAACTGGAGCAATTATACAAAATTCCACAGTTGTTGGATGAGGATCACTCTTAGGGTACATTGATATATTAGTGATTCCAGTCTGTCATCAACACAGACAGAGCAGCCCATGAGGACCGACTGTGGCAATGAAAATGATAGGGGCCAAAAGAATATGGGTGGGACACAGATAGCATCTGCTTTGTTCTAAATCTCTATTTCTGGTACAGATACTCTGTTTTATCCTAGATCTATACATCCAACTGCCTAGATAAACTGCCTACTGGAACTTTCCCCTATCACCCTTATCTTTTTAATCCCTGATCACAAAACTGACATCACCATCCTTGCAGTGCTCAAATAAGACACCTACCTCTCCCACACATCCCACCTGGGCGAAGGAAAGGGTTTCCCTCTGGAGGGATGGGCTGACTAAGAAACAAAAGCTAAGAAAATAGTACTACAAAATAACCACAGAGCTGGTTTTCAGAGCTGGAGCAGTGACCAGCCAACCTGACCAGACTGGTGCAGCTTCTAACAAAGAAGCCAGAACCTGGATTATTTATATCAGAACAGATCAAAAGGATTGGATAGAAATTTCTCCTCAAAAACAGGATAGAGGTGGGGACAGGTAGGCTACTCAATTCTTAACAGGTCATGCCCATCTTCCCATGTTATGCAGAACCTTTTGGCAGAGCTGAGTGGGAGTTCACAATGTACTGGGCCATCTCAAAACCAGCAGGGTTGCTGGTAGGAGTTCCCAAATACCAGATCTTCCCATTCAATAGCTTCAATGCTGATCTGGACCATGCACATTTCACAGTGGCTTCCCGCACCTACCAGTCATTTCTGACTTACTAATTGACTGCCAATCTCTTAAAATTCTTCTAATTCCTATCTCCCATGACACTGTCCTACTTCAGGTCTTATTCTTATTTTGCCCTAAACCATTGTAATAATCTCCTAATTGGTATTTCCGTCTCTATTCTATTCACACTATATCCCATGTAATCATCTTGTGTTAAGTCTTCCAAAATCCTCACAAGGACCTCTCCATTGCCTAAATTCAATATTTTAAATCTTTATTAGAACATAATATCTGATCCCCCTCTTAATCTCCAAGTTCTCCTTCTTCATTCCTCTAAATCCCATGTGCCTTCCTACAGACATGTGTTCACAATTCTGCACACATGTTAGAGTCTTATGTGTTTTCTTCTGCTATGTTTGTCCTTCTCCACCTTACCTACCTAGCTACTCCTACTCGTGTCAAATATCACTTTCTTTGCCATGTTTTTCCATACCTTTCAGAAAAAAAGAGAAATACCGCTGAGGCTATGCTTCTGATGCACTAATAATTACATAGCAATGATGACATATCTGGTGGGTTAATAGAAAAAGTATCTGTAATAATAGCATAACTTCTTAACCTGAAAGTAAAGAACATATCAGAAGCAATGCTAAAAGACAGATATCTGATGAGGAATAAACATATAGTTATTTATAATCATGCTCAACATTAGACATAAAAACAAAAGCCTTTCTTAAGCGGTCCTTCATTCAAGGAGACTGAGTAATCAAAAACTTAGTTCTGAGAATCTACCATAATTGCTTAAGTAAGACTTTTTAATACCAGATTTAGATGATGATGATGATGATGATGATGATGGTGATGATACAGATAAGAGTGTTTCAGTAAACTATCTATCCAAATATATCATAGATCAATTTACGATTAACAAATACAATCTAATCTGATTAACACTCTTACCCTTTATCTCTTTTAGGTTACTTTGATGCTTTTTGATTTCTGCCACTCTAGGATCTCAGCACCCCTATTGAGACCAAGAATTCCATTTCAAGGATGGCATCTCCTACCTTCATCCATAACCTTCAGAGAACAGCCACTAGAACACTTTTCAAGAAAATCTGGTGCTATAATCCCAAAGCATCTCTTTGTACTAGAACAAAGGGCATTCCTCTGGGACTTCACGAAGAAAGCTGTTACAGGAGAGAAAGCAGTTTACACATGATAAATCCATTCCTACATCCCAATTCTCTAAGTTATTAAATTTCTTTTCTTCCTTCATGTAATTCCAAGGCATTTCTGATCTCTACACTTCGCTTAGGGTATGATACTACTGAGTCTAGATTTTAATCAAAAAACTGTTAGAAGCACTCCCAACTGCTCAAGCCAGCTCATTTAATCCTCAATCTCTGTTAAGAGAATCCATATCAAACAATTCAGTTCATTCTAAAATTATAAACTTCTCTCCTTGAGTTTGTACCACCTGAATTCATTCCAACATATATTCTCCCAAATCCTTTGTTACATAAGTTGGTAAAACTATTTTTGCAATTCTCTTCTCCGTGATTTGACTTTGCACTTGGCTCCCTTGGATATGCTAGAATGTGACTCTAATTACCTAAATGAAAAAAGGAAAATTGGCACCCCTTGTCTAAATAAGTATCTCTGGTGAGGCTATCACAGGATCTTTGAGCAAGGCAGGAACGGCTTCATCAAGTTGTTCCTTCTAATAAGAAAAACTGAGTATGGAGTTTGAGAATTCAATATTGTTAAAGTTGTCTAAACTTTCCAAAGTTACCATTCCTGTTCTCAGCGTTTCTTTATTGTCATCAATATTCTCATTTTCAAAAAAGAGATCTTGTATGGGTGTGAATTCCACATACAAAAGCATTTTGCAGGATCAGACCCAAATTCAATTTTTAACATGTCAGCCCTTTGACAAAAGGTAAGGAATCCCTTTAGATCAGTCATGGACACTTGCCAGATCTTTGACCATGCCTGAAATGTGAACTTAAAATTTTGAATTATCGTTTCTTTCCATAAACCATCCATTACAGAAAGAGCTAGCCTAGGCTGCAGGGTATCACCCATAATTAGGTTGACTATATATCCCAGTTTTCCTGATTCCACCCACATCTACTATCTTGGAATTTTTAATGATGTTCCCTTTCACTTTCAAAAATATCCTAGTTTGAACAATAAATTTTATTTACTTTTTTGTGACTATAGCTGATCAAACAGCCATTTAAATCAGCAGTTGACACTTAAAGCAACAGCAATGGGAATCTCAATTTCATTACTTAATGCCTTGGGCTGTCAGTTTACCATTCTCTTATGCTAACAGAGTTTCCACTGGTTTTAGCCAAATAGAATAATAATCAATCCTAGAGTCTCATTTTCTTGGGATTCTGTTCCCTGTAATCATCTTAGTACTAACAACTTAAATAAATCAGGATTCTTAGTTACAGACTGCAGAATCTACTCCAGATATCTAAACTGAAAGGAACTATGATCTTACAAAATTTTAAGGCAGTTTGAACCAAACCTACATTCACAGCCAATAATAATGCAGCTAAAATAAATGCTAAACATGAGACTGTTCTATTAGCAACTTCACTGTCATCATTACCGATGCTTGCTGCCTAAGGTGGGACTAGATCTATAACACAGAAGATTCCATTTCTCTGTCAATAACCCCCACCTGAGATTGTTCTCATCTGCATTCTAAGTTCTATGCAGGGCTATCTTCTTCTAGCTAAGGTATAGAATCCTAGATAGGAAAATACAACGTAATTTTACATTTATGAGCCCTTTGATACAGAAGGCATATTAGAGAGGCTTTGGTGAATTAGAGAGTGAGTCAATTTTCAGAGTCAGCCCAGAACTCAAAAGGATTAAGAGATTCATATGGAAGAAACCAGTGGTAAGAATATCAATGGTGGCCCCAGAATTTCTACTAAGGAAGAGTTTAGAGGACACTATCTACTTGGAAGGGGAATTAGAGGACCTCTCTTGAATCTGTATTTGTACAGCAAGCACATTGTCTTATTTAGCTGTGCTGCTTGTTTCTAGGGTACTCAGGAGAGTTTGTAGAGGTCTAAATCAGACAAATGAGATAAACTTTTGCACCATGACCAGATGGAAAGATAAGATATACCAAAACTATGACCCCCTAAGACACAAACTGGGCTATCTGCTTTTGAATAGCAAAGTTAGTGGCAAAAAGGTCCTAAGATATGTTATTCTACTACATTGACCACAGTTTCTCCTAAATAGTCCTATGAAGGAGAGGAAAAGGCCATTTTTAAAAACAAAATTGGGACATAATTTCTGAAAATAAATTAAGATACAAAATATCTTAAATTCTGAACTTCCAGATTAATTGGGTCTATTATTTCTATTCTTACCACATCTAAATTGGCACAAGCAAGGAGGACCCAAGGAACAAGTGTGTTCCTTTGTCTATGTTGCATTATGCTCATCATCCACACACACACATACCCATTTTCCAAACCTGAAACATCCCTTCACTTTCACGGTAGGTTTGGGGCAACCATTGTATTTATTTCTGTGGGATCTGTGGGATACTTTTTCATTGTCCCAAGTTTATCTAAGTAATCAGTGGATGTTTCAAAACCCAAAATTGTGTATTTTCTTTTTTGTATTTTTTTTAATCAAGCCATTCACAAGTGAAACAACACAGAAGAGAAACCACATCTTTAAGAGCCATTGTGGACATGGTGAGAAAGAGAGAGGAGAGAGGCTCATGCTTGTTAAACATAAATCTTGCAGATCTGTTGGCTCCTCAGTTCATAGCATTCAACTCCCTGGCTCCTGAGCAGTTCCTTCTCCTCTGCCAGGTCTCGAGTTTTCAACGGTGGGAAATGAGTAGGAGAGGTGATAAATTCATAGTGCCGGTCCAGATAGCGCAAGTAGATGAGCATATGCAGGGCATAGGCCAGCACCAGCAGCAGGATCAGGGACATGGCCAGGCCAATCAAAACAGCTGGAGAGAAGGAAGAGGTGCAGTCCCTGGCCTTGGCAAACTGCTGCCCTTCAGTGGTAAAGCCTTGGATCTGTCAGGAGATAAAAAAGAACTGAAGTGGCCTTTGCCTTATCTTCCAGGATCAACTTTCCACTTGGGCTCATGGTTCTGGAACTCTAATTAGGCAGATTTAACACACTATCACCATATTTGTTGCATAATGTAATCACATTATCTGACAAATATGATTGTGCTTACGAAGACAATGAAATTTGATTTTTACTTTAGGACTGACCCAGAAACTCTGGGATATATGGCTATCATATTTAAAGGGCTTGTGAAATTTAAACCTCTGAAATAAAACCTCTTTTAATCTGATTTTTAAGAATATTCTAGGGACTGGGTTTGCAGCTCAGTGGTAGAGCACTTGGCTAGCATGTATGAGGCACTGGGTTTGATTCTCAGCACCGCATACAAATAAATGAATAAAATAAAGGTCCATTGACATTTACAAATCATTTAAACAAAGAATATTCTAGTTCATGAAATCAATTTCCATGCATGTATATGAGTTTGTCAGGATAAACCCAACAACTACTATGTATAACTATAAGAACTAATAAAAAAAATTTTAAAAAATTGGGGAAAATAGAGGAAAAAAAGAATATTCCATTTCATGGAAAACCACAACTGCTATGGTGTCTCTGAAATTCGAAACATGTTAAACTGTATGGGCGTAATTTTTCCAAAGATTTCAAGTCTGCCTTTGATTCGACTGACAGGAAGTAGACAAGAAGAGTCTTTCAAGAGAAGACATCATGACTCTTGATGAGGTAAAATAAAAATACACTTGTAGGGCTTATGGTATACCTAGTGCTGCCTTAACTTGTTTAATACTCACAAGAGTCTATGAGCAAGTTACTATTTTACTAGTACTTTATGATGAGGAAACAGGAAAATCAAGTAACTTGCTCAGAGTTCCACAATGCTAAGTGTTGTAAAGGTATACTTCAACTCCAGGCAGTCTGGTTTTAGACTCAGATTCATTTATGACTCAGTTGCTCCTTGTGTGCTCCATCTCTTCTTCCTGTTGTCACTACCTCTCCCTCTTTTGTCAATTGTACAGTAGTCCTCTCTTATTATCCACAAGGCATATGTTCAAGATCCCCAGTGGATGCCTAAAACCACAGATCATACTAAACCCTGTATAGTTGGCCCTGCATTTCCATAGGTTCTACATTTGTGGATTCAACTAGTGCAGATCAAAAATATTTCTTTAAATTGGATGTTCATTTTTGTTCTTTTTACTTTTCCCTAAATAATACAGTATAATGACTATTTGCATAGGATTTATATTGCATTAGGTATTGTAAGTAATCTACAGGTATTTTAAAGTGTGTAGGAGGAGATTATACACAAATACCATGCCATTTTTTATATAAGGGACTTGAGAGTCTGTGAATTTTGGTATCAGGCCAGGACTATGGAATTAATCCCCATAGATAATAAGCAGATATATACTATGTTTTTTCATATATATATATACATATATATATACATATATATATATATACCTATGATAAAGTTTAACAAATAAATTAGGAATAGTAAGATATTAGCAATAATAGCTAATAAAAGAACAACAATAATAATATACTATAATAAAAGTTGTTTAAAACTTATAAATTACGTATTTCTGGAATTTTCCATTTAATATTTTCAGACTGTAGCTAATTATAGGTAATTGAACCACAGAAAATGAAACCCTGGACAACTTACAGACTGTACCATACAGACTTGTTGCCATTTTTTGGAAGAACTGAATACTAATTCCTCCTTGCATCCTGTCCAGAGAATAGGGGGGAAATAAAGCATTTTCATATGAGTAAATAAAGTAGTTTAATTACTTGGAACTAGGAAAGGTTCAAATTGATTACAGCTCTGCTATTTAAATACTGCTGTCAAAATGAAAGAAACAAAACTAAGGACCAACTTCTTTTAAAAAAAGAGCAATAACTGGAAAGCAGCCTGTTTGGCTGTATTATAGAGTCTAACCCTACACAACATCACCTCATTCAGTCACTTGTTTTTTAAAAGGTACATCAAAAAATTGAATGATCTATGAGTGTTTCACAAAGAATTCATTTTTTATGGGCATTTTAAATGGGCATTTTAGTATTTTCTTATGCCAAAATTATTATAGCCATTTATCATGCCAGAGTCTTTAGGGACCTTGTTCACCAATTGTCTGTATTCTAGACTGAAACCCAAATTGATTCTGAAGAAGGTTCCTGGCCTGGCTTCAGGCATCCCCTGCCCACACCTCTGATGCATAGTGGCCTTATTCTCAGAACAGTGCCTGAAGAGTGGAGTTCCTCAATGACAAAAGATGACCTCAATTGACTCTGCAACTCCAGCCAAAGGAAATGCTCTCAGGCTGACTGCCACTTAATTCTTAATGGGATTTGGTCAAGGACAGCAAGTATGGGAATGTCTGAAGTATGTGGTTCATCCATTTCCTGGACTAGACATTAAAAATGTTGTATGGAACCCAAAGGTGAGCTTTGTTTGACCCTGAGTTCTGAATCTCCTGAAAATTTCCAGTAAGTCCAAATATCTAGTGTCTGTTGAAAAGTCAGAAGATCCAGCAACCCTGGTCCTGTATTTACTTTAAAGCACACATCAGCTAAAGTTGAATTTTAAAATGTTCCTTGTGAATCTGGCTACACAGACACACCCAGTTCACTTCACTCATTTACCCACTGAGTCTTTGATGTCTGCTGCACCATTCTATACAGTCACCCTCATATTCAGGGGGCCCATGTGGGGATCAAAATATTCTGGAACTGTGGATCAAAAATATTCTGGTGGGGGCGTGGGGTTGTAGCTCAGTGGCTCAAGTAAAGCACTTGCGTAGTACATGTGAGGCACTAGGTTTGATTCTCAGCACCACAAAAAAAAAATTAATAAAATAAAGTTAAAAAAATACTCTGGGAAAAACAGTTGTACTGAACATGTACAGACTTTTTTCTTGTCATTACAATCCACACAATACAGTTATTTATGTAGCATTTTTATTGCATTGGGTATTATAAATATTTTAGAGATAACTGAGAGCATATGTAAGGTGGTATATAAGTTATATGCAAATACTAGAAAATTTTAAATAAGGGAATGGAATTTTGCATGGAATTTTGTACCTATGGCAGGGGGTGGCAGCTCCAGAATCAATCCCCTGTGGATACTGAGGGACAACTACACTTTATTCTTAGAATAGACTAGACCAGAATGTCTGCACTTATGGAAAGCAGCCTTTTATTAACATAACTCAGCTACCACTACCACAGCATCTTTTCCCTGGCTTGAGCTTGCATTTAAGCTACAGGTGTTTTCACAAGGTGCTGTGTAAGGATATTGTTGAGGACATCCACATTGCACAACATTGGGGAAGATGTACTTCTCACAGGCAAATTTTCAGTAGTCACAGGGACTCAGTAGTTATGTAAAAGAATACTTATTTCTTATACTAGCTACTCCAAAGTTTTTAAGTTAAATTACTATGCCACATCCAGCCAGTGCAGATAGATGGTCCTGCGGTTTTATGAACCAACTTCCCCAGAGGCTTCTAACTAACCTTCCTTTTTATTCCCCACACCATTTTTTTTCTATTTTGCCTTTTAACTGTAAAACATAAATAACATAAAATTCCTGGGGCTGGATATAGTTCGGCAGCATACCGTTTGCCTTGCATTCACAAAGCCCTGAGTTCAATACCCTGGTCCCCTCCACCAAAAAAAAGAAAATCCTATTTTTTGGTGTTCAGTTAGTGGCACTGAGTGCATTCATATTGCTGAGTACCACCACTGTCTCCAGAGCTCTTTTCATCTTACCACACTAATTAAACACTTATTAAACACTATTCTCTGTTCTCCTTCTGTCAGCCCCCAGCAACCATTATTCTACTTCCTGTCTCTCAATTTGACCACCCAAGCCAAGCATGATGGCACATGCCTATAATCCCAGTGACTCAGGAAGCTGAGGCAGGAGGATCATGAGTTCAAAGCCATTCTCAGCAAAAGCAAAGTACTAAGCAACCGAGTAAGACTCTGTCTCTAAATAAAAATACAAAACAGGGCTGGAGATATGGCTCAGTGGTCAAGTGCCCCTGAGTTCCATCCCTGGTACAAAAAAAAAAAAATTGACCACCCAAGATACCTCATATGAATGGAATTATATAATATTTGTCCTCTTGTATCTGATTTATTTCATTTAGCATAATAACTTCAAGGTTCACCCATGCTATAGCATATATCCAAATTTCCTTCCTTTTTAAGGGTGAATTTTCATTGTATATTGTACATGCTAGATTTTGTTTACCCACTTATCCATTGGTAGACACCTTTTGGCTTTTTTGACTAATGCTGCTATGAATATAGGTGCACAGTTATCTATTCAATTCCCTACTTTCCATTCTTTGTGATATATACCCAGAAGTAGAATTACTGGATCACTTGGTAACTCTATGCTTAATTTTTTGAGAAACTGCCATATTGTTTTCCATAGCATTAACAGCATTTTACATTCTCATTATCAATGCACAAGGATTCCCATTTCTCCACCTCTTTGCCAATACTCCTTACCAGTGTGTGTGTGTGTGTGTGTGTGTGTGTGTGTGTGTGTGTATGAATGTATGTGTGGTTGTTGTTGTTAAAGAAAAATCATCTAAGGTATGGAATGGAGTAGGATAGAATATTTCCTCTCCCTGTGGCCTATCCTAATTTGTGTGATGTGGTTTGCCTATATGTACATTTTTTGTAATATTTCTGTAAGTCACCTTAAGCTATTCCTGAAACAAGGCAGATGTATAAGTCAATTCCTCTGTTCTTATTAATTCATATTATATACAATTTATTTCTTGTTTTGTTTTGTACTGGGAATTGAACTCCGGGGCACTTAGCCACTGAGCCACATTCCCAGCCCTTTTTAAAAACATATTTTATTTAGAGACAGGACCTTGCTAAGTTGCTAAACCTGGTTTTAAACTTGCAATCCTCCTGCCTCAGTCTTCTGAGCTGCTGGGATTACAGGCATGAGCCACTGTGCCTGGATTTCTTCCTTGTTTTTATTATTACCTCCTCAGATTCCTGCACATTTTAAAGAGCAAGACAGAAATATTTATAACATATATAAACATTTCAAACATATATGTGTCACACACACACACACACACACCCCACACACACACACACACATATATATATATGAAACATCCTTGGACCAGTCTAGAATTTGAATTCTGCCTTTACTATTTACTAACTATATCACTGAAAAAAGTATCAGATCTTTAGTCACTTCATTTGAAAAACAGGGATAATAACCACTATCCTATAGCATTGAGATATATTTTGACAATAAAGTATGTAGAATAACTACAACAGTGCAACACAAGAGAAAACTCACAAGTTGCATTGTTAATCTATGTCTGACATGGTCCTGGGTGTTTCACACACATTAAGCCATGTATTCTTTCCATTCATAAAGATAGGCCAGAAATTGAGAGAGGTTAAATACCTTATCCAGGTGGCTGAGTAGTATGTTAAATCAAGTCTACTTAACTCCAGAATGCAAGCTCCTTCCCTTCCCCAGCTGCCTCTCATCACACTACACCCTCCACACAGCCTGGAAGGGTGATGGGGGCCATATACATACATATAAATATCCACATATCCATATGGAAAAGTTTGGAAAGTGCCCTTAAAGGGGACATGCAAAGCCCTGCCTGCTAGTTCAGCAAGTTGGAAGAACAAGCTAAGCTCTTTTTGCAGGTAAACAAGAGAGAGGAACTTGGCAGAATGTCTGTCAGCCTTAGATGATTCTGATGGTGAAAAGAGACTTCTCACACTCCCCTGCCTTTCCCCAAACACTTCCAAGATCTTTGGGATATTTTTGACTCCCTGTTGGCGATTCCATTCCTACACTAACTGCCAACATTGTCACTCACACTACAATGTACTTCTTATCAGCCCTGATAGAATCACTGCTACACTCCCTGAAGGAAATAAAATAATTATCCAACAAAGCCTCTCCCCAGAAGGGCCTCTCAGTCCTGGAAGTGTCAGTCACTGGGCTTCACACCACAGCTCCACAGGGGTTTAGATTGCTGGCATTCCTCACTGATAATTATTAGTGACTAGATAAACCTGAAATAAAAGCAAGTCCTGGGTAGAGACTTGGAGGCCACAGGGAGAGGAAATATTCTATTCTACTCCATTCCATACCTTAGAAGATTTTTCTTTAATTATCTTAATTATTTTAAAGGTATGAACTTCTCTCTTCTTCTTAAATATCTTTTGTTTCAGGTGTTTTCAATATTGCATTTATTCGACACCAAAAACACAGGTATCCTGAGCATGTTTTAGTTTATTACCTGAAAATCAATGAAGGTGACTTCCCACAAGCTTGACATGTCATTTGTGTCACTAGGCAACAAGAGAGCATCATGCTGCTGCAGGCTGCTGACACGTTGGCAGTGGTAGGAATAACTTGATGGAGCATAGATGCCAGTTACATTAAAAGTTGCTTGGACTGAATTGTTGAAAATAATCTCAACTCGGTGCAAAGTAAACCAACTCTGGCTGGACAATTTGTTGTAAGTGGTAAGGAAGAATCTGAAAATGATTATACATCAGTATTACCCACTGTACTTCCACATTTACCAAAGCAGGACACAGTATATGAACGGTACAACAGTGCCCTCTTTTGTTAGGTGGCGGAGCTGACCTGGGGAGTGGCTTCACCTTAGTTTCAAACAAGTTTCCTCTAAGTAGGTGAGAAAGAAAACAACTGACAGACGAGCCAAAAGTGAACAATACAAATCTCTACAAAAGAATACAAAGCTTTTCTTTCTCAGAATCAGTGCTCAAGTATGTGTTCATTATGGCAAGAAATTTGAGAAAAAAAGTGTAAGTGGACATCAACATGGAATTAAATTGTGACTTAAAAGAACAGTAATAGCTCTCTTACTACTGGTTAATCATGCTTCTGTGTTATTTATGTGTATTTTATTTAATCTTTACTATAACACTATGAGGTAGTACCATTATCCTCATTTGACAAATGTGGAGTCTATGACCGAGAGGGGTAAAATAAACTTGTGCAAGATCAGAGAGCATGTCTTGGAGTTGGGCTTCAAATCCTATCTCAGACCAGCCCTTTACTTTTAATCTTTCTGAAATGGAATATTCTCCAGCTATGAAAAATTTATATTGTTCATATGTCATGATCATTTGTTTTTATTTTAAAAAAATGGGTGACTGCATAGAAAAAAAAGAAGTCTGGAAGGATAGGGATCAAAATATTAGTAGTGATTAAAAATGGTATTGGATTATTAGTTATAATTTTCTTTCATTACATAGCTGAATGTTTTCTGGCTCTTCTATTTTCCGTGGCTTTTCTTTCTTATTTACTTTGTGAGCTTCTTCAGAAGCACAGCATGAAATAAGTTGTGAATATATTAAAAGTATACAGGAAAATCAGTTATCAAAATATGTAAGGTGGAAGAAAGAGAAATTAAAGAGGAAAGAAAGGCTACCAAAATGAGTGCACTATTAAGGAAGTTTCCACTGTGGACAAGAAGGGATTAATGCCCAGGGGGAAGCTGGAAGCCAGGATAAAAACATGCCTCTAAATGATCTCAGCCAATGGAGAGAAAGATGGGTATTCATATATTTCTTAGACTTGGGATGGGAGAGAGTGGGCTGCTTTGGCCAGAGAGAGTGGTAGTTGAAAGTTGAGCAGGTGAAGTTTAATGCTCTAAAGTAGAAAGGCCCTATAGACAGGGTATTGACAGCATATGCTAATACCTTTATTGTAAGTAATAGTAAAGCTATTTTCCACTTGGAAAAATTGCTATTACAGACCAAAAATATCCCCCCACTTCTATATCAGACAGATATAGTGTTGGTCACCTTACGGGATTCTATTTCCTTACAAAGTTTCTCTGAAAGGTGATGGCATATATTTTCTAAATTATGATCACTGAAGCACCAGTGTCCCATGATATGTTGGTAAGTGCTCTGTGGAAGAAAGCTTTCCAAAGTTATGATTAGGAAACAGTAGGTTAATCAAAGTTACAAGTACTTCCTTAAAAGCAAGTCTTCTCGGAAGTCTGACTTTCCAAGAAGAAGGCATGGTATGTAGTAATTCTCAAGCAGGTTTAACTACAAAATCCTTTTTCTGTAGAATCACAAATATTTTCACAAAATGGAAGCATTTTACAGGACACAGCTTTGGAAAGAGTAGTCTAGCACATCCTACTGATTTTCAAGTAATGTTGAAGACACATCTGCTTCTCTCCACTAAAACATTCCTACTATAGGAAAGGAAGCTCTACACTTTTATAAGATGAAAATGTAATGCCTTCAATTTCTCCCCACCCTCCAGAAGCAGTTTCTAACTGCTTGGATAAACTACTGTTGGTAGATGCATCCTTCTATACATAAATATAGAAATATGTAGGCCTTTGTTGGTTGTCTACTGGAGAATTCAGAGACTTGTTCATTGCAGATATAGAAGTGTGCATCATTATAAGGAACTACACAGATTAACTTCAAATCAGAGCCTCAGCCTTGGAAAGAGACAGAAGAAGGGAGGGAGGGAGGGAGAGAGAGAAAAAAAGAATTAGTTTAATGAAAACGACATCACATTCCAGCATTTCAGGTTCATGAATTCTTAAGTTCCTCTCTGATGAGTGGAGCATAGATGTTTCAACAGGAACTGTAGAAAACACTCTTACAGGATCCCATCACATATAGCCATTGACTTTTCAGTGTAGTTAGCTAGCTGTGGCATTTGAAGTATCACAGTGTTTGAAGTATCACATAAAAAGACTTTGAAATCCACATACAGAATGAATAAGTTTATAGAGCTAATCTGAAGTCCTGAAATTATAATATTCCAAAGTGGTAACCTACCTACCTCATATAAAAGCTTTGTAGATTTTCAGCATCACCAAACTTCAGAGACAACCTTAAAAAAGAGATGCAACACAGATCATCAAAACACGATGACCCTTATTTCACACTATACTCAAAAATTACCTCAGAATGGATCTAGACACAAATTTAATACTTAAAACTACAAAATGTATAAAAGAAATATATAAAAGCATTTATACAATCTTAGGAATATATGGTTTTTTGAAAATATACACAAATGAGACATAAAAGAAAAAATAATTTATACTTAATTAAAATGAAAAATTGGGGGGCTGCAGATGTAATTCCATGGCACAGTGTTTGCCTAGCATGTGTGAGGCCCTGTGTTCAATTCCTAGCACTATTTAAATAAACAAGAAAAACCTTTGATCTTCAAATGACACTGTTAAGAAAACAAAATAGGCAAGACAGGAGAAAATAATCCCAACATATTCACATAAGGGACTTTATCCAGAATATAATAAACTCAACAACTCAATAAGAAGATAGCACCACTTAAAAATGGTCAGAAGACTTGAACAGGTACTTTATAAACAAAGATATACAATTAGTCAATGAGTATATGAAAAGATGCTCTTAGCATCATTCAACATTTGGAAAATATAAAACAAAAATCACAATAGAATACCAAAGTACAACAAACAGAATGACTAAAAGTTTTTTTTAAAAGGATTCAGGTTTTTAAGACCTATATTTGTTCATATTTTCCTGAAAGTAAACATGAAATTTCCTGGAGAAGAGACAGATTATTACTTATTCATGGGAATAAAAATATTGATTCCCCTTTTAACCCAATTTTTCCCTCTAGGCCACATGATGAGAACCAAATATCATCTTTTATATATTGATATTTATAGTAGAAGTAAAAAAGACCAAAATTATGAACCTGGGTTTTTACGTAAAAGAGAGAGACTTTCTGAGAGAGGAGGAGAAACATCTGTTCCCTTGGTATCAATAAATGCTCTTTGGGCAAAGAAGGGGGAAGATCCTAATACATGCCCTACAATCTAAGTGGAAGAATTCAAATTAGGGAGCAAATAGTTCAACATAAAGGAGACAAATGACTGCAGGTCTAATATCCACGGTACATAAATAAATGCCTCCAACAGGTAGATAAGACATGCTTCTTGGGGTTTCCAACTCCTGAAATGACTCTATGGTTCTAGTTTCATAAGATTTTAACATGTAAACACATTACTCTGAAGAGGCAAATCTCTTACTAATTTCAAGTCTTATTTTTTAACCAAGGTTCCAGTTAAACTCTTTCAGTAATATAAAAATGCAGAGACATGAATATTTTTCTCTATATCTTACACTGACTATACAAAGTATTGATCAGGATGTAAAACAACTGGAACTCTCATACAACACTGGTGGAAAGGTAAAAAGGGCAATCACTTAAAAAAAACAGTTTGGCAATTTCTGAAAAAGTTAAACACTCATATCATTTAGCCTATCTATTCTTAAATGTAATGACACCTAAAAGAAATGAAAATACATGTTGCCACTAATACTTGTACATGGATATTCATAGAAACCTTATTTGGCAAGCTATGTAAAAACTGTGGGGTGGGGACAAATTCCCATCAGGTGAATGGATAAATAAGTTGCAATGCATCTATACAGTGGAATGCTACTCAGCAATGGAAAGGAACCATTGATACAAGCAACAACATAAGATTATCCAAATCATTATGCTAAGTGAAATCAAACTGGCTAAAAAGTAGATATATATGACTATATCTATATAAAATTCTAGAAAATGCAAGCAAATCTTTAATGATAGAGGGCAGAACAATGATTTGTAGGAAGGTGGGTGTGGCTAGAGAGATGGATGGATTACAAAGAGGAACAAGGAAACTTTAGGTCCTTATGAAAGCATTTTATCTTGATTGTGGTGGTAGTTTTATGGGTGCACACATAGGTGGAAAATGACCATATGGTACACTTTAAATATGTGTAGTTTATTGTCTGCAGTTTATATCTCAAAAGGTTGAAAATGTAAGAATGGTTAAAAAAATAATTATACTAGAAAATGTAAGAAATTTAAATATACAAAGGATATTGCTACTATGTCATTAAAATATCTACAAGTTATAATACCTCAAAGTACACTGTAAAACAAAAAAGTAAAAGCAGGTATCTATAAAATATGCAATTGCAAACTTGAAAACTATCACCCATATACAATCTCAGTAATTCAGTCTCTCTAATCAAAAAATAGAAATATCAGTGATCAGATTGAAGTTCATCTTAATCCTATTTATGGGGAAAGGTAGAGTTATTAACAAAATAAACCATATATGTAAATTGATAATATTTTCCATTTTCTGACATCATAAACTCAGACACCTTAGATATACTCCTTTACAAACTCTTTATAAGCTTATTTATTTGGTAAAGCAAATATTCAACCGCCTCTTTCCCTGTATTTTGATAGTCGACAACAAATTACTGAAAGTACTTTGAAAAAAATGCATTTCTTTAATAGTATTTCATAAATCTAATTATTTATTCCAATAGAAATTTTCCTAGTTCTTCCATGGGACCAGAATGACTGGATTCCCATCAACTGGCTCTATAATGATGCACTAAACCTCAGAGAAAAGCCATTGTCAGCCCACCTAATCTCTGTCCCTGCCTCCTAATGAAGCAGCCTATTAGCCTCCAAGCTTCTGACCCTCCAAGAGTTCTTCTCTAGCAGTCCTGGTTTCAGCAGAATCTGGTTAACAATGTTCTGCTTTGAGTAAAGAACATGAGGTCTGTTTTCACAAAGCAAATTCAGCATTCATTAAGTGCTAGGTACTGTGGCATCAAAACCAAAAGGGATTTACAACCTAAAGCAAGAGTTGGGAAAAGGATCATTTTTTACTTTTTCAAGTCCCCTACTCTTACACATTTAAAACCGATTCTGAATTCATCAGACTATAACTGTCTAAATTCAAAATATACACAGATGCTGGGATTATGTTCTATTTACAGGGCTTTCACTATTTATAAAGACTTCCGTAGCAAATCTGTCTGCCAAATTTGCTTCTCCCTGAACATTTTGTTTCCAAGAGCTAGAACATGGTCATTTTTTTTTTTAATCCATGCTTTTGACCTTACATGGTTATGTCTTTGCTTGGGTTTATTCTCTCAGCAACTCCCGTTCCTGTTCTTTCATATAAAATTTCCTCACCAGCACACAAAGGCCTCTCATTCATTTAAGCAATTCACAGAAATCAACCACATTGTCTCAGTGGCTGGTTTTTGATTGTCTCACTTGCTGGGAAACTTGCCACACCCTCAGGTGAACACACTCACCTGAGGACTACCCCCAAAATTAATTTAAGCTTTCAAGTCCTCTCTACCAGGTAATTAGACACCAATTCACTCTTTTGAAGTTCAGAATACTGCTCATGTGAATAACATTTGACAAGTTCTCAAAATTCTTATGAATACATCTCAAATAAGACTTTCATAATCCTGTAAGATAGGGCCAAGGGGAAGGAATTAAAATGTCATTAAACACTTCATCTCCCGGTTCTGTTAAATACAAATTGTGAGTCTGCAATAAATTTTGAAACTCATTTGAACCTTGATTTCCTCACCTGGAACAGGGATGGTGGCCTGTGACTTAGAGGGATATTATGAGGAATAAGAGATAATGGGCTTGTTATGGCCTCTATACAGTGCCTGACCCATGTACATGTAAGACTTCTTGGTCACAATGAGTAGATATCATCACATCCATCTATTAGGTAGGAGTTTGGGGACATCAAAATGGCAGTGGAAGGGTGTAAGAAAGATGCCAATGGATGATGAACAATACAGGGAGATAAGTCATGTCTCTGTTTTTGATAAATAACATTACCATGACAACTCCCACCACTGAGGATTTATCACCATAATAATTCCTGCCACAGGTTTGGTATATTAAAATGACCAATGGGGATAAATTGGGTAGTATTCTAATTAGGTTTTCTAAAGTAACCAATAGGAGAAAATTGGACAATATTCTAATCAGCTATCATAAGGTAAACAATGGGAGCAAGTGGGGTGAAGTCTTTAATCTGCTTTGTATAGGAAAGAGAACTCCTCACAGCTCAGCGTATAAGACACTGATTTCCAGACACCAGGGCCTTGTGTTTCTCTTTCTTACTTGACCCACTCCATTCTACATTACAGAATGATACCCTCACTTTCAACTTTGCTTTTAATAAATCTGTACTTGGCCTGTTATTTGTGTGTGTTTTACTCATTTCTTTGTTCAGGACATCAAGGACTTAAACTCAACTGGACACCCTGATGATAACACATCTGATACACGAAAACCCTACAGGTCTTTTTGTAAAATCACAAAGTTCACTGGGAGAACTGGGTCTAGAAGTCAAATTTTTATTTTTTTTCCATCTGTAGGCTCCTAGTGGTCACTAAGGTCCCCAAAGCCCCGTGAAAAGTTGTGGTGTTCTGATTTTCCCTACAAAAACCTTATAGTCATAATAAATGCAATTTAGGTGGACCAGTCAACCAAGTTATCTCCAGGCAATCAGCCTCTCTCTGTGCAACTGACCACAAATAAAGAGCCCTGTAGGGAATAAATTAGAGCCTGAGGAAAAAGGTTCTGAGCTCTCAGCAGTGTTGGCATCTCTTTCATAGTCTATGACAGTCATGCTATAACAGGATAAACAGATATGGGATGATTTTGAATGTTTACACTTTCAATTCCCTAAATTTTTGTTAAGTTGGTCATTCTCAATCGCAAAATACTAATACTTATAATGTGACTTTTAAGTGTACATTAATATAATCCATTTTTATCCATCATCAAGAATTTTTAGATGAGGAATAAAAAGGTATTTTCAGCCAAACTATATAAAGTGTAAAAAGAACACACACACACACACACACACACAAATATATATATATATATGTCATGTTTTATACAAAGCATCCTATCCATCTGGACCAGACCAGAACACATGCAGAGACTCTTCCAAAAACATCCATTTTACCAGCAAATATTGAAAAAAAAAAGAGGTTTATAGAACACAAGTATAACGTATCAAATTCCCTCCCCCTGGACCAAAGCAAGTAATAGCAAAATTTCTTGCTTTGATGACTGAAAAGCAGAGAAAGACATTGGAAATTGATTTGTTCTTCAAGAGTGACATATATTTAATCAGCTTATCTCAAATTAAAACTAATTGTTCTCATCAGGTTGAAATGTCCTAAAGAGTTCTCTGAAATTTGGCCACTCAAAGGTACCCTTGCACATTTGCAAACAAACAGTGTTCCATAACTTCAGAATCCCCCCTGCAGTCAGACATTTGTCCTAGCTAAAGTGAATCTTCTCTGTTTAATCCACATATATAACTCGGCTTTGACATGTAATTTCTTCCATGGTGAGACAAAAGTAGTTTAATACCTAACATTTAGACTTAGACTAAGCCTGAAGTCCTTTTCTATTCTTTCCTCTTTTTTCAGAATGAGTTTGGAAACCCTCATTTTAAAAACCCTCGTTTTCCATAAAGTTCTTATGACAATTGTTTAAAAGGTCCACAAGGAAATTGCCAGGAAAAAAATTTTAAATATATAAAGTTAATTTCTGACTTGTTCTTTCATTTATATATTAAACACTTGCTCCCTTCCTCAAAGAATGTCAGGGTCATGTTCAAAGGAGTCCCCCTTTTTTTCTGAAATGACAAAAAAAAAAAAGGATTTTTATAGTTAACAGACTACAATACCCCTCAAGGATGCCTCAAGCAAATAGATCCACTTACGTGGCACTTTCCTCACTGCAGTTTGAGTTGCCAGTATCCACTACTGCCTTTTGATCAAATGTTTCATCTGTAAGGTCCAGCCAGGTCAGATTCTTAAATTTAATTGTTATTCTTTTGGCCCAGAAGAGAATGCAGGAAATTCCATCAATGGAGATATTAACAGGGTTATGATGGCTGAAGGCATTTCCATGTTCTTTTTCTAAATGTCCCTCTTTGCTCAGATTTTTAAAAGCCTAATTAACCAAATAAAATAAAATTTAAAAATAAACATGTCCGTGATACAAAAGTCTTCCTGGAAGTAAAAAGGCTAATTAATATCTTATAATGATAGACATATGTCAAACATTTATTAAAATCCATAAAATGTACAACACAAAGAGTGAACCAATTACTCCAATGCAAGTACAGATAAAAGAAAAATTAATTAAGAGGGAGCAACAAGGCAAGCTCAAGGATAATCAAAGACAAACTTCTAGAAGGGATATCAGTAGAGTATAGCAAGTGGATTAGCAGGTAAGAAGAGGGTAGGGAAAGGAAAGATACTGGGGAAGGAGGCTGAGAAAATTATATGCATGCACAAATATGACATGAATTCCACTATTATGTACAATTATAATGTACCAATAAAAAAGAAAGCACAAACCAACAAAAAATAAAAATGATACAAAAGGATAAAATGCTACTGTAATGATCCTGTCTGGAAAGCAATAAAAATAAAACTGAATATTGTAATAAAAATATAAGACAGCAAGTAAAATTAAGTATTTCAGGTTTTTCTAATTTATAAGAACACTATAATATACTCCTCAAGCAAAACTATGTTAAATATTAACAGAATTATTATTTATATTTTTACTATGTTGCTGTTTCAATTATTTAAAAGATAGATTACAATCTAATTTTCGGATAGACCCATACCTTCGTGATTGGCATTGTTGTGAAATTCTGGATTGGTTTCATATCTCCATTATTCTGTTGACCTGTCAAATAGAGATGTGAGTACCAAGGCTAAAGAATATCAATGTATGAATGTCATTGAATGACAATAATATGCTAAGCACTGTGAAATATATCAGACTTGAGTCTCCTTTGCCTCATAATTTAAAATATACTAGTTTAAGAAATTTTTCACATGGGGAATCTAGGTACGAGCAAACACCACTACTGATCAGGGAAGCCTGTAACAGAAAAAGCTGTTCTTTAACACCCTCCACCAAGGAATCACAGGGGCAATACAAGTCTTACCTTTCTTTATAACCACTTCTTTATTTGAAGATGTTTGAGAACTGAAATTGGAAAAAAAATTAAAATGCTAAGCAAGTACCTACAATTCAGATTACATGAAGCTTTCAGAAGTATATTTAAGTTATTATATTCCAGAGCCGAGGAGCAGAACCTCAGCTTGTCAGAACTGTTCATTTTCTAATGGTGAATTTCTGATATCAAAAGTAATATATATTCTTCAAACAAATATGTAGACAATTCAGAAAAAAATTAAAGAAAAAATTTAAAAATCAACCTTGATCCTTATTCATTGAATATTGTACAGAGCCCTCCATATGTCAAGCAGAGGTTGAACCAACAAAAAATAATAACAAAATAATAAAGCATAATAAAATATTTTATAGGGAAATTTTATACTACATTGAATTGCTAATAATTAAAGCCAAATATGCATTTCTTTTTTAAATCTATTTCTCCATCAGATTTTTATAACTTTATTTTATTTATTTTTTTAATGTGGTGCATCACACATGCTAGGCAAGTGCTCTATCACTGAGCCACAACCCCAGCCCTAAAATATGCAATTCTTTTAAAAAAAAATTTTTTAAATCAGTTACCAAAATGGTATTTTAAAAAATGATGAGAATAGAAATATGATATATATGTATGTGTGTGTGTATATATATATACTTTCAGTCTATACACACATAACAGACATACATACATATACATATTTACTTTTCATAAAACTTTAAAATAGATTTTTGTGAACATACTATTTTGGAGACTGTAATTTTTTAACATAAAATATATCACAAATAGTTACCCATGTTATATATTTTTCTGATTCAATTTTGAATTCAATGTGATATTACATCATGAAATCATTATCATAATATCTTTAACCTCATTCCCATTCTTTTTTTTTTTTTTTTTTGGTACCCTGAATTGAACCCAAGGGCATTTAACCACTGAGTCATATCCCCAACCATTTTAATTTTTTATTTTGTAATAGGGATTCATTAAGTTGCTGAGGCTGAGGCTGCCTTTGAACTTGTGATCCTCCTGCCTTGGCCTCCTGAGTCACTGCCAAATTCCTATTATTTTTCTTTTTTTGTAGTTGTAGATGGACAGAATGCCTTTATTTTATTTATTTTTATGTAGTGCTAAGGATCGAACTCAGTTCCTCAAACATGCTAGGAAAGCACACTGCCACTGAGCTACAGCCCCAGCCCCAACCCCAAATTCCTATTCTTAATTATTTAAGTTGTGCTATGAATTGAGAGTCCCCCAAAATTTCATGCTGATTAAAGACTTGGTACCACAATGTCAGTATTATGAGGTGTCAGTATTGGGAGGTCAGGTATAATGGGAGATCTTTACGTTATTGAGGGTATGCAGTAGTTTTTACATGAACCCTTAACAGTTCTTGAGAAAAAGTTGTTACAAAAGGAGCACGCCTGGCCCCTCCTGCTCTCTCTGGTTCCTGGCTCAAGATGTGATCACTTGTTCCTGACACATGTTCCATCATTACCATTCACCATCCACCAGGGAGCCCTCACCAAAACTGAGTCAATACAGGGACCATGCTTCTAAACTTCTAAAATTGTGAGATAAAAAACCTCTTTTATTTTTCATTAGTAGCCTATGTCAGGTATTCCATTACAGTAATTAAAAGCTAATTCATATAAGTTGTTTCCAATTTTGGGGTAGTGTAAAAACACTGCTTTGTTATTGTGGATTATTTGTTCATATCCATGTGAAGCTCTTTAAGATAAATCCCTGAAGTGAAGTCATGAAGTTATAAACATTCATACATGTTTCATCATGAAATGTTTTATAAACAAAAATATTTTTAAAACCACCCTATCTGCCTGTTCCTATCATCTAGCTTTAGTAATTATCAAGTCATAACCCATTTCTCCCCTGTGATATTATTTTGAAGAAAATATCAGAAATTATATCATTTTGAAATCTATCTCTAAAAGATAAGGACTTCAAAAATAATAATAATATTACATCTATAAATATTGATAATTTTTTAACATTAAATATTTTCAGTGTTTAAATCTCCAAGTGGGTCATAAATGTTCTAAAGATTTTAAGTTTATTTATTGTACAGTTGAAGTTTTTCATAAGTTTTACCTATAGTATATGAGAATGTAGATCAAACTCTATGCTTAACATATCACTATCATGTAACCTGAACATTTTAATTATTAAAGAATATATAGTATATGTCATGATATGTATGCAAAAAATAATTATAGCCAAAGAGTACTAAAGCCATATCAAAGTAAAGTGTTTAGAATTAATCATGTGGCATCAATTACAAATTAAATGTACAATTCTCTTTGCAATATGATATTTATTATCTAAAAGAATTTCTGAAGATGACAAATTGGGGACAATTATGTCTACTAGATGCCTTAAATAAATTAATGCATGCATGCAATTATTCACTGATTTTATTCACTCATTTTGTGGAGCTATAATTTATGTACAGTTAACTATATATAACGTATACAAATCTATAAATTTTGGCACAGGCACATACTCATGACATCACTGCTACAATAAAGATACAGAATATTTATATCACTCATAAAAATATCCCCAAACATTTCTGCATTCAAGAGATGTTCCCTCCACCCTTAGCCCTAGGAACGTATACACAGGCTTTCTGTCCCTTTAGATTAGTTTGCATTTTCTAGAATTTTATATTAATAGAATCATATAACATATATTCTTTAGTGTTTGGCTTTTTTCAGTCTTAACATAATGACTTTTAAATCAGTGTATATTGTTGCATATATCGAGCATTCACTCCATTTTATTGCTAAGAAATATTTTATTGTTGATATACCACATTTTATTTGTCTTTGCATATATTGATGGGCATCTATCATATTTCTAATTTGGGACTACTTAAAGTAAAGATTTAAGAACTCTCTCATTTATAATATTTTGTGTGGAAAATGTTATTATTTATAGTAGGATTCTTGTTAGAGGAGTTAGCATGAATCAGTCCTCTGAGCCCATTCTAGGAGCACTAAGAAATTTAATTTCCTGAGTTAAACTCCAAATTCTATAATGCAAATTAAAATGTCACTAGATATATAAGAAAAACTAATATCCAGTCACTACTTCCTGGAGAGCTTCAAGCTTTCTAATAATATAATTTTATAATATATTAATCTTATAATAATATAAGACTATATTATAATAATATAACCACACAAATAGGTTTTTAAATGTTCCTTAATTTGAATTTTATTGAAATATCATATTTCATGATGCCAGATTACATACTCAATTTTTAAATATCTTAGTGAACAAAAACAGAAAATTGTAATGTTTTACCTAGGTAAGATAAAAATTGATCAGGTCAATTGGAAATATCTAGTTAGTAAGGAGGTTAGTAAATGTTTATTGAATAAAAGTATAGAGTGAATGAATGAGCTACAATATCATTGGTAGTACTGGATTGATACTCTGCACTGTTAATTAAATTTTTCCATGTGTTCACTAATGAAAGATTTCTGGTAGACAACACAAGCTCACTGTTGTTTCAATGATTCTGGTCTGAACATCCAATAATAATGGATATAATAATGCTGTTAGACTTTCTAAAACAAGCTGTAATCCAGATAGGCTTTACACACACCTCTAAGTCTGAATTAATGAGGTTTTACTGGAAACCATTATCTCAAGCCAAACAAAATAATGTACATTTTCCTATTACTATATAATCTCTGAACCACAGCAGAAACTATTTAAACCCTTTTCCAGTAAAAAGGATCTCTACAGCATTAGAAAGGTAATCAAGCATCTTAGATTTGTAGCTATGAGTGCTATATGCCTTCATGCAGGTGAATGTGACAATGAGGCAGCTCTACTGTGTTCCTTCTGAGAACAAAAGTCACACTCCCACCATGACTTACAGGCTCGAAGTCCTCAACCTGCCAACTGTACTTACCTCAGTTTACCTCTTCTCTTTTCTCTCTGCTCCAGCTACACTACCTTTCTTCAGGCCCCATGTTTCTTTCTTTCCTCATAAAAGCCTTAAAACATGCTGTTCTCTATCTGCAATGTTCTGCATCATCCTGTTATTTTCTACCTATTCTCCCAATCACAACTCAAATATCTGTTCCTCAGGAACATGGTCTCTAACTTCTCACACTAGTTCAGATATCATTTTATGTGCTCAGAGCTTCCCATATTTTTTCCTCACAAGACATTTCCATGTTTATTAATAATTACATTTATCACTTGATTAATGAGCATCTCTTCACTAGTCTTAGTCTATGAGGGCAGGGACTTTGCCTATTTTGGTCTTCACTAAAGACCCAGAGACTAGTATAGTGCCTAGCTAATGAAAAGTACAAAGTATTTTTAAAATGTATTACATGCAAGAACAACCAAACAAATTAATAAGCTCTGAAATCAAGGTGGACAATACAAGATCACACAGTTTCCTTTTGATTCCAGAATAAACCCAGCATGAGGAAGGAATATGAAAAGGAAGAATGGTGACATGCATTCTCTCTAAGCTTAAGGAAAGCTGTATCAAGCTCATCCTTCCTAAAGACTTTTAAATCTTGAATAGTATTTTGAGTTGAAAGATATTTTTTATTTCAGATCCATGATTTGAAAGAAAATTCATGAAACAGCAATCAAGAGATATCTGAGCTTTATAATGAATTAAAACCCCATATTAGACTTGAATGATAATTGATTTATACAATTTTTAATATCTAAAGCTTCTGCAGCTAAGATTATTTAAATCTGTTAACCTTGCCTTAAAAACAGAATAGGATTTTTATAATTCTCTTTTTTTTTACTTATAGATGGACATAATGCCTTTATTTTATTTTATTTTAATGTGGTGCTGAGGATCAAACCTAGTGCTTCATACGTGCTAGGCAAGCACTGAGCTACAACCCAGCCCGGGTTTTTATAATTCTTTTCCACTGTAGTACACAGATCAGTCATTTCTGTATAAACTTGGTGATGAAACATTATTAAACTAACCACCTAAGAAAAATAAGTCATTCACTATTTAAAAGCAAACCTGAAGGAAGATACCAATTAATTCAGGGAAAAAAGGGGGTAAAAACAATTTAAGATGCCTATCCTTACAGCTTTTATCTGCTGCTGACTTAAGAATTCTTTAAGACAAGATTTTCTAGACCACTCTGCTTGCTGGTATGCTTTGTGTTCACACTAAATTCCCTGGTGCTTTTGTTGAAACAGCACATAAGGAAAAATTGGGAGACATAACATAAATTAACTTCTATTCAGATTCCAAATATTCTTTTATTATAGACAAACTTCTGTGTGCTCTCTCATACAGTATGGAAAGAAACCAAAGTGACAACAAGAGGAGAAATAGAAATTGTGCTAGTTAATTAGAAATACTGTGTATCATACACAATTACCATCTCAGACCAGTTAAAATTATTTAATACCTTTTCTTTAAGGGACATGTTATATATTTCTGAGATTTTATATGTTTTATTACTTCCCACAGAATAACAGGAGAAATTATGAAATTAACATTTACTTATAAGTATAAAAGAAATCCCTGAACACTGATTTAAGGAAACATTTTCTGATAGACATATACTTGCACATGTATTACAATGCTTCTTGAGTATTATGAATAAATAATCCTTGCCTCTTATAATAAAGATTATTTTTAATCTTAATTATAAACTCCAGTTTGATAATTTTAGTAGCTAGCTCTTCATTTTGAACCATTTATTAGCTAGTTTATCAATTTTGAACCATAAACAGATATAGCTATTTGACATTTAAAGAAATAACAGAACCATCTCATGTCAGACTTGCATTAAAGTTCACAAATGCATTTCATTAAAAGATGTATAATTGCTCACCTTACATTCTTCCTGGTAAATATCTGGTCCAAAGTTAGTGAAAATCCCATACATAGAAAAAGAAGTGAAAAACTAAACAAGATTTTTCTTCCCATCAAGGAATGAATCAGTTTCTTCAAACCAAGCACATCTGTTAATTCATAATGCAAACAGAGCAGAAGCAGTACTTTTCATGCTTTGTAACTGATAGCATATTCAACCAATAAAAGGACAGCTTTCCCCAGGATGTATTATGTGGGGGAAGGCAGAAGGAGGGACCTAATAATGCTTACTTTAGAGTACAGAATGAAACCAATATTTAGATTTTTAACTACTCATCTCATTGAATGATTATTAGGAAGGAATTTTTTAAGAGAAAATCTATGTCAGATAAGATCTTTTCAGAAAGTTGCATTGTTTTGATACTGTCACATAAAATCTATAAAGTATATATTTTTACATGCATCTTTCAGGTGACTAAATCAGTTTAAGAAAATCTCTGGAACTTACCTATATTTACATATATGTCCTAGTTCAAGGTTTCCTGTTGAATTCCTACCTCTCCACCTGCTGAGAGGCATTGAAGGGAGTGTTGAAGAGCATTGGCTTTGGAGTCAGACACCAGCCAACTGCACACCCAGCTGGGGACTTACCAGTTGTCTGAAACCAGGCAAGTGGTTTTCCCTCCAAATCCTTGTTTCTTCATCTGTGAAATGGGTATAAGAATACTTAAAGAATAGTTGTGAACCTTAAATAGAATCAATCAATCCTAGATGAAAGCCTCTTCTTCAGTGCTTAGCTAAATAAAGAACACCCATTGTTACTGACTGATGTTTACTTGCACCACACCGGCTTAAGAAGCTTTCAAAAATAGGACCCAATAGGACTCAATCTTTAATGGTTATTTTACATTTACAGAGCAATAGTAACAAAAACAGCATGGTACTGGTACCAAAACAGGTAGGTGGACCAATGGTACAGAATAGAGGACACAGAGACCAATCCACAAAATTACAACTATCTTATATTTGATAAAGGGGCTAAAAGCATGCAATGGAGGAAGGATAGCATCTT